CAATTGTTGCCTTTCATCAAGGCACTAACTACACTTGTTGCTTTTATCAAAGCGTTTCAAACATAAAAAATAAAAACAATGTTTTTGATTTTATCCTTATTTCTAAAAGTTTATTAACGATTAATTTTATTTAGATAAAAATAATGATTCTATCAGAGGTTTATTTTATTATTTTCCTCTGCGAGGACCCAAAGTTATCCTTGATGAAATTTTCGTTGATAAAGATAAAGATGGGTTTATTATTGCAAAGTAACTTAATCAATCAAAATTGTTGATATTATAAAACTTCCATAGTTGTTTGTTACACAGTAATTTTGATAAAAAAGCTAATTATTATTATACACCAAAATTAATTAAACACGATAGTGTATTTAATGGCAGCAACTTTGACGTAATGGTTTTACAGCTTTGGTAACATTTCGTCAAACAACATTAGTGCTGCGTTACCTCCCTTTTTTTTATCCTTTAAAACCACCATTTAAATCATTGGAACCTAAACAAATGAATTATTAGATCTTATATCATTGGTTCATAGATAAAATTATCATCAACAAATCCCCATCAACAATATCATCATAATTGAAATCTTCCTTTAAACGACTGACTATTTTAGTCAACTAAAATAGTCGATTCCAATATCTAAGTCGATGTTGCTCCACATCATCATAGTGTTCTTTTATTTATAAATCATCATTGATGATAACAAAGACACGTCAAACACGTCAAAAGTAGCAAATCAAGGCAGGGATTGTATTTTTTCATATTTTTTTTTTTGCATTTTTTAAATTCATTTTTACCTATTATAATTTAATCATAAATATTAAATCTATTGTTTATTTTTTATTTTTTCTCGGCTTCGAGTTTTTTTCTAAATTCATTAACCAATTCATCTTGAACATTTGGTAAAACTGGTTGATATGTTTTATATTCCATACTAAATTCACCTTTACCCTAATTATCATAATCATGTTTAATTAATATTTAATAATTTTATAAAAACACACGTGTATTTATATTATTACCTGTGTGGCACTTCTTAGATCAGATGAATAACCAAACATATTGTTTAACGGCACTTCAGCCGTCACAACAAAATAGTCCTCGTGAATATCTGTATCAATAATCAAACCCTTTCTTTTATTTAAATTACCAATAACTATTCCTTGGAATTCAGTCGGTGCAGAGATTGATACGTTCATAATTGGTTCTAAAATCACTGGATTCGCTCTATTATAAGCTTCGCGAAATGCATAAAAACTCGCTAATCGAAATGCCAATTCTGATGAATCAACTGCATGATGTGCTCCGTCTTCAAGTACAAATCGAGCATCATTAATTGGATGTCCAATTAGTGTGCCTTTCTCTAACGCATCATGAAATCCCTAAAATGGTTTTTTAAAAACGATTCAAATTAATTAATTCAAAAAAAAAAAATAAATAAAAATAAATAAAAATTCTTTCATACTTTTTCAACAGCTGGTATAAAATTAGACGGGATACGACCACCAACAACTCTATTTTCAAAAATTGGAACCTCCTCTTCCTCCTCTTCATCACCAACACTACCACTTTGACTTTTTACCAATGGTTCAATATATCCCATCACCTTACCATATTGACCTGAACCACCAGTTTGTTTCTTATGTGTATATTCAAATTTAGTTTTCCTGGTAATAGTTTCTCTAAACGCTACTTGTGGTTTTCCAGTATTACAATCAACATTGTATTCTCTTCTCATGCGTTCAACATAAATTTCTAAATGAAGTTCTCCCATTCCTGATATAATTGTTTCTTTACTTTCTGGGTCAAATGATACTCTAAATGTAGGATCCTCTCTTTGAAATTTACTAAGTGCTTTTGAAAAATTAACGGAATCTTTTACTTTTGGAGTTATCGATAGTGAGATTACTGGATCAGGAACAAACATGGAAGTCTAAATTGGACAAACCGTTATTATTCATTAGTTAGTTAATTTATTGTTTGATTGATTAGATAAAAGTGTTTAAAGGTTGATTCTGATACCATAGTATATTGAACTGCCCCATCAGTAAACGTATCACCAGATGAACATTCGATACCAAAAAGCGCACAAATTTCACCAGCCCCAACTTGGTCAACATCCTAAAATACACATATAGTTTAATATATGTATGACAATTTAATATATTACCTTTTTTTACTCACTTCCATTTCATTAGAGTGCATACGAACAAGTCTTGGAACTTTGACTTTTTTCGTAGTTTTGATATTGATTATAGTTGAACCTCTTTTCAAAGCACCCTGATAAACTCTAATGTATGTTAATTGACCATATTTTCCATCTTCTAATTTAAATGCCAAACCTACAAATGGATTTTTCGAATATGGAATAAGATTGACTTTTGCTTCTTTTTCATCAATATCCAATGCTGTATTTTCCACTTCGGATGGATTTGGAAGGTACGCACAAACTGCATCAAGGACACGTTGAACTGCTGTGTTTTTGTATGCAGAGCCCATTAATACTGGTGTAAATTTATTTGAAATGGTTGCTCGGCGAATAGCATCCTACATCTCAAATTAAAATTGTTTAAGATATAAATTAATAAGAATTTTTGTGCACATGTATGTATGTGCGTATGAATGTTGAATATATATATTTAGTTTACATATAATATATGTAATAAAATGATACATGAGATGACACACACCATCAATTGTTGAGCAGTTGGAGTTTCTTCCATTAAAAATATATCAGCCATTTCATCATCGACATCAGCCAACACTTCAATTAACTCTTGTTTCTTTTTCTTTGCTAAATCGATCAATTCATCAGGTATCTCTTTTTCAATAATTTTTTCCCTGTGATAAAGGAATTAAATCAACATTATTTAAATATTTTATAAATATAAATATAATATACATATACATATATTACCCTCGAGAACCTTCGCTATAAATAGCTTTCCATTCAATTAAATCAACAACACCTTTTAAATTATCTTCAATACCAATTGGGATTTGTATTGCTGCTGCAGAAATTCGTAATTTTGATCTGATTTGATCTATTATGTTGAAAGGATTTGCACCGACTCTATATAAAATTTCATATAAAGTTATAATAAATTATGAAAAATTAAACAAATATATATATATATTTGAAAAAATAAATACCTATCCAATTTGTTAATAAATGATATTCTTGGAACACTATAACGACGCATTTGACGATCCACAGTAATCGTTTGACTCTGGTTATAATCACACGCATAGTTATTCAATTATTATTTATATGTCCGCATTTTAGTTGTAACCAATCTTGTTAATAATACATATTATATCATTATTAATATTATTTAAGTAATTTCTTCACACCTGAACGCCCGATACGCCGCATAAAACCAACACTGCACCATCAAGAACTCTAAGTGCACGTTCAACCTCAATAGTAAAATCAACATGACCTATTTTTAATTTTTTAATTCTTTAATTTTTTAATTTTTAATGATGATGATTTATTTTTCAATTAAATTTTGAATTTTAACCTGGCGTATCAATTATATTGATATTATAATCACCACGATTCCCCCATTTCCAATTACAATATGTAGCAGCTGATTGTATTGTAATTCCACGTTCACGTTCCAAATCCATACTATCCATTTTTGCTCCCTCGCCATCTTTTCCGCGAACCTCATGAATTGACCTTTTATTATTATATTTTTTTAATATTTGCATGATATATATATATATATATGTTTGATGATTAGATACTAAATTTTTTTTATTTACTTAATTCTTCCAGTATAATAAAGAATTCTTTCTGTCAATGTAGTTTTTCCAGAATCTATGTGAGCACTTATACCAATATTACGAAGTTTTTGGATACGACTCTGTACATATATGTGTATTGACACAAAATAAAAAATAAAAATATCGATTAGTTTTTTTTTATTAATTAATATTTATTTTATTTCATTAAAAAAAAAACTAACTAATTCCTCGGGATCTATCTTTGATGTTATTGAATCATTATTCGGAATATAATTTAATGAATCTTGATTTGGCGTTACTTCTGTTTGAGCTAACATTGTACGAACTAGAATAAAGCAAAAACTAATAAAAAATTAATAAACAACTTATATATTAGTTGATTATTTTTAAATAGCTTTAAGAATTGATGTTTGTACTTTTTTGTTGCAGCATTACTTGTTAAATTTATGTCCTCTTGTTCGAAAAGCCCTTGAATAACTTTTGCAATTAGTTAGGGCATTGAATTGACATGTTGCTAATTTGATTTTCAAGGACATTTTTATTATTATTATTATTATCGTTGTTCTAGCAACTAAATTATCTAAAAATATTTTTGATCTATAAAATTTTTTTGATAATCGGACGTTAAAATTGGGGTATGACAAAAATATGCAAATAATTTTCAATTTGGTTAGGGGAGCGTCATAATCACATGATTTCCTTTAATACACCAGTACTTTCGTAAATCATTTCTGCAAAACTCTCATTATATTTTTGAGAATTGCTCTTTTTAAAACTTTCTAACTCTTCTATGTCTCTGTTTAAATTAGTTATTATTCCGTGACTTCAAAAATCACCCTGCACTTTTTCCCAAAAAGTTTTAAAAAATCTTCAAAAAGAATAGAAGGAAGTTTATACTTTTCACAAATTTTATAATTTATACCCCGACAAAATCAGACAAAGTGAACATTGATGTTGCCCCTAAATTTCGGGGTCAAATGAAGAAATTATTGATCAATAAAAATACCATTTTTATTTCTAGACTAAAATAATGCAATGCAGATAAAGGAGTTGCCACCCCTACTATTAAAGATGATAAACAAACCCTAGAAAGAAGCAATGCTTCCGTATTATTTCAGTATCATAATCAATTCAGTATCAATTCTGTACTGATTCCGCACTTTTGATATGGAAATTGATATGGAAATTTGCATATTCCCGTACTTTCCATACGTGTTGTTTATTATTATTATTTAAAATTCCGTATTTTCCATACGGTTTATTCCGTATCTTTTCCGTATTTTATTTTATAGGGCCATATTCAAACTTCAAATAAACAAATGTCTATAATTGGTTTATTTGAAAGATCTTGAAAAATATTGATCAGATGACATTGAACCAGAACAAAGATGACAATGATGAACAATACAAGATGATGACAATGCATAAATTCTCACAAAAATTGATCGACATGCACATTTACTAATTAAAAAGACTGAAAAAAAGAAAGCTATGCATTGTTACCTTTCTCTGCCGATCTTATATAAAAAATTCCCTGGTTGATAACTACGAGTACCCAAAAAATTAGGAGTATCCGAAATAATTACGAAATAAATTATATATATATATATATATATATATATTCAAATATCTTTGAATAAATTGATTTTCGAATATTCGTAAAAATTTGATTTTCGGTAGGAACACTAACAAGAAACAAGAAATCAATCAAAAAACGAGGCAGGCTTTCGAATAAACGTGATGCAATCTTGTTTGTGAATCTACACAAGGTCATGCACATTAACAATAAATCACCTAAAAATGATTCAAAATGCATTCTTGATTCTCATTTCGTGCACTTTTAAGGTTTTGTGATTATCCAATCAGAGAACTATATAGACTTGTCGATGTTAACATGTGTCTTGATCAGAATATAGATTTGTAATACCAATACTGATATGTGTTTTATGCAGGTCGAGGAAAATTAAAGTAACTTATTTTTTCTATGCATTAAATTGTTTGTGTAATCTTTAACAGCCCATCAACTTGACGATATCTATCTATCTAACTACTCATATATTTAGTTCAACGACTAATGAAACAATATGGGGGAGCTTTTCAAAATAAATTTTAAAAAAGCATTTCAGGAATTGTTTATTTTTTAAGAAAACCATGGCTATGTAGTACGAGTGCAACCAGTAATTAATTTTTACATAGAATGAAACCCAACAATAAATTTTGCTATTCTTTATTCCAATAAGTTTTGAAACATTGTCTTTATCATTATTATCAAAGGTTTTCTCAAACACAGATATTATTATTATTATTATTATTTCCCGTTACCCAATTAAACAATCTTTGAGATGACAAAAAAAAGTTAAATTCATTGTATGATACTTTATGGTTTTTATGTAATGTAGTACAATGTCCATTAAAAGTCGATTTTCCTTATTGTAGATTACAAATTTGTGTATATACATTCCTTATATGTAAAAAACAAACCCAAAAAAGGTCCCAATGAAAAATGGCCTCAATTTTCGTTTCTTTGTAACCCTAGAGTTTAACAAGCATTATATATTAGAAAATTCTGCTATAAAATCAAGACGTAAAATTTGAAATTCAAAAAACAAAAAAACAAAAACCAAAAATCAAAGAATTGACAATAAAAATACTGCTAACTACACCTTATAAAATTAAATAGACACATTCTATTACAATTAACTGCACCTTATATATACTGCAATTAAATATAAATATACAATCAAAAAATACTACTACAATCAAAAACTGTCTCACTAAAACACACCGTCACAATAATGGGAAATTCAGAATCTAGAAATAATAATTTGGACGCTTTCGAAAGTATTACTGCCGACAATAAAAATAATAAAAGCGTTATAGTTAGTTATGCAAAGTCAGTCGATGGAATTGTTCGTAATGAAATTTCTGAGAAATTTCACAAAGAAACAAAACACACAATGAATCCAATCGAATTCAACTCATTCCAATATAATACTTCAACTGACCTGTTGAAAATGAATTTGTCAATTGCCGCATTGGCAAAACGCTATTGCAATATTGCTAAAGGCGTTGTACAATCACCTATTTGTGATAAATATACAGAGGTAGAAGAAGATGCTTCGGCAGTAAATTTCAATTATATTAGTAACTTTTTAGAATACGCTTATTATCGTTCGATTAACAACAGCATCAATGATAGAATTAAAAACAAGAAAAATGTGAAATTAATAGAAATTGATAGCGAGATTATTGATGCTTTGATTATGATGAAATATGAAATCGAATCATTGAAAGAATCCTCAACAACTCAAAAAGAGAAAAATGACTTGGAAAAATTACACAAAATCCTAGATTGTTTCAATAATAATGAAAATACTGATTGGAAAAATATTTCAGAAAGTCTCCTTGGCTTTATTAATGAACAAGTAAAAAACTTCGATCACCTGACAGAAAAAAGCTTTGAAGCCTTTATGTCAGCGTTAAGTTTATACGTGTTTTCTTCTTTACGTGAAGGTGTCTTCTCCAATGAAGATCTTGATCAAATCACCAAAGTTATTAATGGCGTTTGTAAGAATTTGCAAAAATGTTTCACAACTTTACATCTAGACAATTCGGAAGCATCTTTTAAACGTGATCAAGCACCATATTTTGGTATTGATAGACTACCAGGCGTTGGTCCCGTTGATATTTTTGCAGCTTTAATTCAAGGTTTAAAATCTGTCGTAATTCAAAAACTAAAATGTGAAGAAACCAATTCTGTCATGTCGATTGACGCAACAACATCATCTTCTGGAAATGCAGGTGAAAATCATTGTATACTTAAAGGATGCAATCAATTAAAATTGACAAAACCAGCATCATTTCAACATTTCGATAAAGAAAATAATGTTAGATTTGAAATAGAAGTTAAGATTCCCATAATTTATCAATTAGATTCATCAGATCCACATCGTGCTTGGGATTATCTAAGTGAAATTTGGGAATTTAAACCACTCGAACACACGATTTATTTCTCGCCTTTGGTTTATCGAATTGTTACTGAATTATCTGCTATTTATTCTGTTCTCGAGAATGTACATCAAGAAATAGCCAAAGAAACTTCTACTCAAGTATCATCATCAACCCAAACGAATGAGGGTGCAATTATAACTACTGTAACAACAGTAACAACTAAAATTATGATACCAAAACAATTTTTGTATAGCGATTATGCTAGATTCAAAAAAACTTTTAGAAGAAGGCTTTATTATGTTGCACATGTAGATAGAATAAAAGATATCATATTAGAAGTTCAAGAACCTTGGGTCCAAGTTGTTTAATATTTATTTTTAAAAAATTAGATTGACAAAAAAAAACATTTTATAATATTATTATTATTATTAATAATAACTGTATATTTTTATTTTTCTGCAAACATATATTTTATTATATTATAAAAACAAAGCATTTTTTTTATTTATTTGTCCAAATTAAATTAATTTAACGTCTTAAATATTATCTCTCTCGTTCTCTTGCTCTCATTTACAATCTTCTCATACCAAACGCTCTCTTTATCTTGTCAAGTTATTATTTATCATCGTAGCTTTACCGTCATTAACTTAATCGTCGTTATCTGTATTAGAAGGAATGTTTGGGTGTCCTACATTATTATTATATGATTTTACATAGTCGATCACAATTTTTTGTCGATCTTTTTTCAATATACAGTGAACCCTCCCTAAGTACACCCTCCATAAATGCACGGCCCATCTCATCCCCAAGCTTATAGAGAGCTTATAAAATCACCCTCCATAAATGCACGCTCACAAGAAATAGCACTATGTTCCCGAGGGGGGTGCACTTATAGAGGGTTCACTGTACGTTGAACTCATTGAAATTAAATAAAACAAATAATTATTATTAATATTAGATAGATTACATTAAGATTCTTTTGTTTTTGTTTCTTCCAGCTTTGACGCATCTAAAAAATAAAAAAAGGTGGAGGGTTAGCCAAATGCGGAAATAGCTAAACGAATCAATTTTCGAGGTGTTCTAGTTCATAGGTTATTGGATAGGTGCGTAGAGGGTGCTTAATAATGTCAGGGTGTGTAATTCAAGTCATCACGTCTGCGGAACAAGTGGAATGGGAAGTTGCATCTGGTCAAAATTCATTTTGATGTTCTAGGTTTGTTTCAATTATGTTATCTTCTCCTTCATCATTTTCTTCTAAGTCCAAATCATCAAAAGAATTAACACTATTTTGA